CGTGGATACCTCCCCGACTCACAAGTGGCCTGGGCTGATCCTGCCACGGGATGCGGGAGGGATGTCTCCTGGGTCGATCGCGGCCTGGGCTCTGCGCCGGTGCACCTCGATTTTCCTCTTCGGCGGGATCGTAACCTGGCGGCAGTCGATTGGCGGTGGAGGGGTTGAGGGGGAGGCCAAGAGGTTAAGGGAGGCAAAGGCGCGAGTGGGTTGGGTGGGGGGCCGCGGCGTCCTGTCCCTGGGCCGCAGTGACGCCCGCTCGGCCAGTGGCTGGGTGGGCGTCGCCAACAACTGACAGAAACTGGCGGCGGCACTTGTACCTGTGTCTGACGTGGCGGTGGCATTGGGCTGCGGATGACGCACATTCGCGGCCGCGATTGAGGCCGCGGAAAGCATCCACAGCTCCACCGCTGCCCCTCCCCATTGGACACCGCGGTGTCCAACGGGGAGGGGCAGCGGTGGAGCTGTGGAGGTGTGCAGAGAAGCGATGAATTCACGGATTGTGAGCCATCATCATGACGGGTCTTGCGTGTCGCCGAAGGTCATGACTGTGAGAGTGGCGCTTGTGATCAGTCTCCTGACGTTGAGTGAAAGAAACGGCGCCCAAGGACAAGAGGAAGTGCGGCATTCCGTTCAGGCTCTCCACTGTGGAGAGTCCACACATATGGTCGTTTTGGCGTTCCCCGGACGGAATATTCTGTGGAGGTGATCGCAGCGCAGCGGGGGATGAATTTTGCCTAATTAAATTTTCTGTGCATTTGAAGCTTAAAACTGGCCCCTGACGCAACCGACAACTTTAATCTTTCAGCATTATCACTAAGCATTTTCCTTGCACCGCTCTTTCGATGTGCATGGTAATCTAAATTTACGCAATTGGTGATCACTGACATCTGTTTTCAAATGCTGTCTTACAGAGTCTTAGATGACACATCTACATCACATCGTGCAACGCAACTGACAGCGCTCAGCTCCTCCAGGAGGGGCCTGGCCAGCGCCCTGCAGCGTTCACCGGATAGCACTAGAAAAAAAAGGGCCAAATAACACTTTTGCGAAAACACATAAAACACATTTCATCAAAGTTCTGCACGCTAAGAACACAAAAATTAACACAAACCGGCAAACTTTGTACACGTTTGAACACTTGTTATTTGGCCCTTTTTTACCTAGTGTAGGAGGCTGTTTTGTGCGCATGTAACCTTCAAGTACAACCCACTTTTGTCAATGGATGGTGTACCGCAAAAAGTCCTCACCATCACCCGCGCTAGCGCCCCTTGTCGAATCGAGACCTGCAGGAAAACAATTCTGTAGAATCGTGATCGCAAGCGAAGCACCAATGATCGGAGCGCTAGTTCCCCGTTGCAGTTGTGACAGTAGTTTCGTTCTCGGCTTTCCTCAGGCTTGTTTTCTATCCCATAGAAGCTGAACACATTTACGTTTTTACCCATAAAAATGCCAAAACGCAACGTAAATACCTTCACGCGTACTTAAAGGCAGTACACACAGACTCAGGAAGTCCGCGGGGTATCAGCCAGACGAACTTGAATGGGCAGAAAACGGACTTTTGTTCCGCGCTGTCGCTGCCCTCGCCGGGGCGGGGGGGGGAAACGTTGTGTCGCAGGCGCTCATCATGTAAGCTGGGCGCCACAACGAGCCGTAATAATAAACCTGGCTTTGTGCTGTCCGGGGAGTGGCGATAGTGTTGCGTGACAAGCAGGCTTGGTTTTTGCTTTACTTTTACGTTTACGTTTGGGCTTACATTGTTACGTGCAAAAAACGTAAACTAGCAAAAGGGGGTATTTTTGAGGCTATTTTTGGATTTGCTGCTGGTTGGGACAACCATGTTACACGATCAAAGTCGCGTACAATTATCAGTCCTCCGCCATCTCCAGCACCTCCAACACAGTGTCCACTTCGCCCTTTGCAAGGGCAACGACGGCATGGAACAAAAACTCTTTTTCTGCCCATTCCAGCGCATCTGCCTGCCGCTCCCCGGACTCCCTGAGCCAATATGTACTGTACTTATGTACGCGGGGCAGTATTTACGTTTTCTTTACGCATTTTTACGCATTTTTTGTGGGTACAAACATGAAAATTATTTTTGCGCGCAAAAAGTATAAATACGATTTGTGCTTAAGGCTTAAGTACCAAGCCTGACGACAAGTGGTTCGGGCGTTTGGCAACACTGGCAGGCTGGCCATAAAGATAAGGCCAGGCTCTGGCGCTCATGAGTCGAATAGGTTTGCGTATAATGCCCAGAAGTAGTGGAGAAAAATGTTATCTTCGATTGTGGTTCTCTGGAAGCGACTCACTGGGAGAAGCACCGGTTGGCAGTTTCAAGTATTACGTAAAGGTAATACTTAACATGCAACTTGCATGCTATCCCCACCCCACCCCACACCACCCTACACACACTTACACCCCACCCCACACGCCCAAGAGGCAATTTGACGATGAGAGCTGCAATCGCTAAGGATTCATTCCCAACATGGTTGCATACATGAATTGTTGTATGAAAATGTATGATGAACATGTTGCATACTGACACGCAGCTCAGCGCCATATGGGGTTGCATGGACATAAACCTTCAAAACCCATCGATAGACTGTGAAACCCGCCGTTTCCAGGGTCGATGTGCAATGAGCTGAAGTTTACTTGTAAGATTGTCAAATGCACCACAGAACGCAAGCGCGGTTGACAAAGACGCATGGAAACAGCAGTCAACATGTCGAAAGGGTATCCATCGCAAGACAAATGACATATATCTCATGCCATGCATTCGTAAATCCTCTGTGTATTTCAATTCTCTGGTTTTCCAAACATCCGGCCCCAAGTATCCTCCGGCTCGGTCCATTTAATAGCATTCTTGACTTTGATGTCTGTCATACCTGCTGTACACAATGGGTGGCAGCTGTCGGTAATGTGCCACGCGCTAAATAAGGCAGCAACATGACAGAAGTACAATTCAAATATACTGTTATAACAATAGGGTTGAATCTGCAGACGTAATCACATCTGCCGATGGCCTGTGACAGGATGATATCACAACATAAACCAGTCAGTTTTTCGGCATGAGCTGGGCTTCAGCGTTTTAAGAACGTAAATGGGACACTCTGCAGTACTGGAAATACGATGCCCATGATCATGTGTATGTAGATAATTATGTGTGACTGCATCATGATGCGCAGACCCACGGATGTACCAAACAACGTTTTTGTGTGAATAGGAGTTTCTTCTGATTTAGAAAGACGGAATCAATACTGAAGAGCTCAAGAAATGTGCAATGCTGCAGGGAAGTATTGGAGCCAAAGTTCACGAAAGCATCATGTGCAGAAAATAGGTTGCTCTTATGCGAAACCAATATGAAATGCTCAAATATTGAGGCACTGATTAAAATCTTTGAAGTATTAGTCAGCTAAAGCAACAACCTAGAAGATAGCATAGACGAAGCTATGATTGTACTTCTACTTCTACTTGAAGTAGATACTAAAGAACAACCATTTGTCATGGCCTTAGAACTGAATGTTTTCTTGCTACAGTATTACTGTGCCTCTCTTCACACCCTAACACCAAGAGAACAATTTGAGGGACGGTCCACCCAAGGGTGGTGGACGGCCGTCCGAAGAACCTGACAGCTAGAGCCACGCTGGCAGCACTTGCTGGCGGCGCGGCGGGAACCGCTCCCCCAGTTGCGAAGCAGCGGGTGGTCCACAGAAACCTCGTACTCCGACGTGTCAGCGTCCGCGCCTCCATTTTTTTAACCGTTATGATGATACTCATTTGTCCGCACACTGCGCTGCTCTTGGAGCAAGTTCTGTCAATCCGTCCATTTCTTCGCCATTCGTTCGCGCTGCCCTGATCCACTTGATTCCGGCGTGGATCCGGCGGTGAGCTTGGTTGCTTGGACGGCCGTTCACCGCTCTTGGACAAACCAACCCTGGACGCTGACCGCTGTTGACTGTTGAATGTTGACGCCGGGGTATTTATAGCTGACCTGCTCCATACCTTGCAGTTCTGAACGGCCAGCGAGTCTCCGAGCGAGTCTGAGACCAACTGCACTCGGCCCAGCCACCGAGCGCTTGAGACAGTGGCAGAGCAAGCGCGGTGCTGTCGTGCGTCGAGCAAGATGGGGAATTCCCGATGCGTCGCCTTGCAGTGAGGATTGGTTCGCTAGCGATTGGGCTGGGAAAGGGAGCAGCTGCGCTGGCGAGCTCGGCGTGGCCAAGAGCACGCGGTCCCCCATCGGCGCGTGGCATGTCGCAGGGCCGGCGGACCAGGGGTCGGGACTGAAATCTTCAATCAACTTTGCTCTTTCCTGGGGTGCTGTCTGCGATTGCTGCCTTGCACTGTCCTCCTCGCTCACCCTTCGGGCGGCAGCCCCATCCGTTAGGGAGCGCAGCGCCTTCCATCGCCTGCGCATTTCTCGGGGGTGGCGAGCGGTTTGTTGTCTGGAGGATGAATCTGCCGCATTTACGAATCTGCGGAGCAGTGCTGGGCAAACGAACCCCGGATTGCGCGAGTGCGCTTCTCGAGCGGTTGGGGAGGAGGAGCTGCGCTGGTCGCTGACAGGCGTTCAAGCGCACAGAATTTTGCGCAGGCGGTCTGCGTGAGTCCATGGCGCGGTGACCCACGGCGCCGCTGATTCGCCATGAAGCCGTGCCGTTAGGCTTGGGATGTCGCTGCGGATGAATATTGGGGGGAACGCGTCCTGACAATCCCGTTGTGCGAACTGCAGGAACACGACCGTGGGCAAAGGGCTGGTGCTGGCTCTGCTCGCCGTGCTGGTGTGCAGCGTGGCAGGGTGCGTAGACCTCTTGAACGCACCTTGGCGGCTGGGTGGCTTGTCGTACAGAGAGTGAGAGAGCAGTCGCCGTGGATACGTTCCGCAGTCTCTGTTTGTGTGTGAGTTGTGTGGTCACCCACGAGGGACCGTCCTTCCCTGTGGTGGTCCGGTTGGAGTGACTTGCGATACTGCCGCCTGACGGTAGGCTGTGGTGAAGCAGGAGCTCGACGCGCTACGCCTACAGCAAGGGCTACGGCCGCGCCGCGAGCCAGACCTACCATGGGGTGCGCGGAAAGGCGTACCGCGAAACCGTGACCACCGCCTACGATGAGAAGACGCACGTGGCGTCCCATGGCGATGCACGCAAGGGCAACGGCCACTCCGAGAAAGGCTACAGCCAGGCGCCCCCACTGCCCAAGCTGCTGTACCTGGAGGTGGACAAGTGCGTGTGCGCCGAGGTGGAGAGCAAGGAGTGCTGCGCCTATGTGGAGCACATCTGCGGCTGGTACGACCACATCAGGCTGGACTGCTACACCGCCAAGGACCTGTGCATGGAGGTGACTGAGGACACCGGCTATTGGAAGTTCAAGGCGCACGAGTCCGCTGTAGCCAAAGTGAAAGCGCTGTTCGAAGGCGAACTTGACATATGCGGTGAGTGGGCCCGCAGTTTCCATCGGTCTCCCATCAGCCTCCTTGGCAGGATTCCCAGCCATCCACTTGTGCCAGTGTCGCGGGACTGGCCAATATTTCGAGGGTTCATGGAGCAGGCGTTGCGTGAGCCGGTGGCGGAGCTGCAGTTTCTGTCTGAACTGCTTTCTTCGGCGTTGAGGCCAATCCGCTTCTCTCGGCACCGCACACGCATGCAGTTCCATTTCTTTCTCTTGGCAGGAACGGGTGTGTCTGCTGGCCATGGACGTTCCTGACCGATGTCCTGTGTGCCATGCCTCAGACGCACCGGCATCCGCTCAAGTTCAAGTGGAAGCGCCTCCCGGCCCTGATGGACGACCCGGCACACCCGGCACTCCCGGAGCCCAGGGCGCGAAGGGCGACAAAGGCGACCCCGGCACTCCAGGACACAGCGGCCAGCCGGGGCCCCAGGGACCACGCGGACAGGACGGTGTTCCCGGCCAGCCTGGAGCGAGGGGCGAAGCGGGAGCGGCTGGACGTGATGGCACGCCAGGCAACCCGGGCATTCCCGGCGCCATGGGAGAGCGCGGTGCCAGGGGTCCGGCGGGGGCTCCCGGCGGCGCAGGGCAGCCGGGAGCGCCCGGAAATCCCGGACAGCTGGGCTACCCTGGCAGGGACGGCGCCGACGGACAACCTGGAGCTGACGGCGTGCCTGGCGTCCAGGGCGCTCCCGGCGACCCCGGACCCGTCGGGGCCCCGGGCCTCATAGGCGATGCTGGCCGGCCCGGCGCCCGGGGCATCCCGGGCGAAGACGGCAGGGACGGCTGGCACGGGGTGGACGGCACTCCAGGCCGGGACGGCAGGGACGGCACGGCGGGCAGGGATGGCGCCGACGGCCAGCCGGGCAGACCCGGGACTCCGGGGCAACCGGGGACGCCTGGCACGCCGGGACAGCCGGGGGCGCCCGGAGGCTACGCCGATCACCACGGCGCCAAACACGGGACGGACGACCAGTACTACGAGGTGCCTGGAGATCACGCTGGTCACGCAGCCGCGCAAGGTGAGCAAGGTGAGAATGACCAGTACTACGTGGTGCCTGGAGATCACGCTGGTGGCACTGTCATCACGGGGGAGGAGGGACGAGATGAGACCAACTTCGACGATGGGGGGAGGTGAAGCCGCCCGCTGCTGGTGAGTAACGGGGCCCCGGTGTTTCCCCGCATTCTGAACCTGAATGGAAGCCATGCATCCTCTAAGGTGGTAGTCTGGCCACTTTGAGATGCTCTTGCGCAACGGAGTCCAGATGTGGCGGTATTGCATTGCTGAATGGCGCCGTTTTCGGCTCCACACAACCTCTTGGTTAGAGCATTCTCACGCACATCGCCAAGACTTCACAATTTCGTGTCACCAGTTGGTGTGTCCGAAAAGAATTCAAAAGTTATCGGTGGATTTGGGATGCCTGTGAATTGAACAGCATGGATTTTGGATGTTTTGAACTTTTGGTGTCCATGGATTGAGATGCATGGAACTCCTGTTTGTCAAATTTCAAATCACAAGTGTAATACGTGCAATATGTGATCTGTTGCGAATTCTGCGACGCTGATGCCTCCTCAACTCTGGCGGTGGAATATGCTACGCAGGGGACGGTCTGAGACGGGTGATGGATGGCCGACGTTCCGGGGTGGCGAGCTGTGAGGACCGCTGGGACGACAGGCTCTCAACTCTGCTGCTCTGGAACCGGTAACCCAGACGTGTCCCGATAGTCTGCTGGTCGCCTGCTGAGGAGAGAGCCAGGAGTTTTTGAAGTCGAAGACGGGTCAAACAGCTCGTCTTGGCCGCAAGAGACCGTTTGGGGTCGGGTGGCTGGATGGGGATGAGGTCGAGTACTTTGAAGAGAATAGCTATGCGCCTGTCGTTATATGCTGCGTTTCTGCGACAGCGCGAGTGATTCGACGAGGTAGCGAGCTGCCAGAAGGGATTAGTTTCCATGGTTGCAATGTTGTTGTCGTGAGTCAGAAAAGAGAGAGACGTATCCCGGGCGTCCGATTGTCTGTTGTTCGTGAGATACCTGATGTCTCAGACCTGTCGAACAGTCCATCGCGGCGGAGATGGACCACTGGGAGGGTGGCGGATGTCTGCAGCGCGGTTTTCCCGACAGTGATTGGGTAGCGAGCTGGAGGGACGCTTGAGCTGCAGACTTTCGAGCATGGCCTTCAGCTGGGTGTACCGTGGAAGGCGTATTCCAAGCGTCTTTCTGGTCGTTCACCGAAGGGGCAGGAGTCTCTGCTGCTTAAAGTTATCCGAATAGTTCCTCTTGGGTGCAAGGGACCGCTTGGAGTAAAGGTGAGCGAGCGTGCTGACAAGGAGGAAGACTGCGTCTGTCGGCTGCAGTGTTGCGAGGGCACACGCGAACTGGCGAGGAGATGATCTGGGAGGAGCGCTTGAGCTGCAGACCCTCAAGCGTGTCCTTCAAGGACCGAGCCAGAATGTGTATCTCGAGCGTTCTTTCTGATCTTCTACCTGGGGAATAGTCAAGGGTGTCTGTTGCTCCTGTCGGCTCGAAACGCTCATCAACAGAATAGGAAGTTTTTGGCGTTCCGGTCTCTCCAATGTAGTTGACGTTGTTCAGCGAGGGGCAGTGTTTGTGGCGACTGTGCGACCGCTGAGGAGGTTTGACCACGAGTGGTGGAGAGCTGTACCTGAATCATCAGGTCTATAAATTATGTCACCCGAGTCTCTGGGCGTGCCTGGCGCGAAGAGTTTGCGGGGGCTGGTGCCCAGGGCATTACTAAATGCGCCATTACCGCAAGGGTGGTGGACGGTCCCAGTACGGAACACACACACGGAGCCGGGAACCGAAACGGGAGCCGGGACTTATTCCCAAAGTACTGCGGCAACGTAAGCCACCATGATCTGTTCTCTTGCTGCCATAGAAAAGTCGCCGCGTCCTCCGTTGGGGCCCCGCCCGCTGGCTCATGACCTTGGGCCACGCGGCGCTGGCGATGCTCCGCGGCGGCTACCTGGGCCGCGCCCTCGGCGCCGCCCGAGGCGCATCCCCAGCTGCTGCCCCTGCCTCCCCCTCTCGACCCCCCGGCCCGTCGGCCGGCCAACACCGCATCCAGTCCCAGCCTGCGGCCACCTCTCCCCGCCCCCAGGCGCTCGCCCGATTGAGGACCTGCGCCGCATCGCCGCTCGCTACCGATCGCCCGGACGCCGTCTCAGAGGCTCGGCCCGCCGTGTCCGCCCGCCTGGCATGCCCCATCTGCAAGGAGACGGAATTCGATTCGGCCGACCTGCCCTCCGCGGGTGGCAGCCTGGCGTGCACCAGGTGTGGTCGATGGATGATTAACCATTGATTGTCGGGGAAAAGGGAGGCGCGTGGGTCCCATGGCTCTGGGCGAGGTGCTTTGGAGAGGCTTGTGCGCAGTGCTGTAGTTGTCATCCGAGAGGAAGACATGTCGACCCATGGGCGAGGCATCTCCTCAGCAGGGATTGTGCGACGCTCCTTTCGGCTTGGCAAAAGCGCTGCGGAAAGCTGTCGCCCCGAATGGGAATTTTGTCTGCCAATGGCCCTGCCCTTCCCCGCGAGGCCTCCGCAAATCTCCTTTTTGCGCCTTGGTGGCGATGCCGAATTCTCTGGTGCAGGTGCGCCCGGACCTTTGACACCGGGGATGACTACATTGATCTGACGCTGACCAGCGGAGTTGAGCAGGCGGCCTACCGCCCCAGGCGTCGCCTGGGCGTGTGGCTGTTCTCCACCCGCCTGGTGGGGTACCTCTACGAGCGCGGATGGCGGCAGAGCCCGGCGTGGCCGGCGATGGGGTTCCCGGGACCGACCAAGGAGTTCGAGATGGCGATGGAGCACCTGGAGCCGTGCGTGGGGAACTGGATTCTGGACGTCAGCTGCGGGTCGGGTGAGTGGCCCACTGGCTGGCTGACTGTTTATTATTTAATATTTCTTGGTTTGGCAGTTTATTGTATTTTTCATGTTTTACTGTTGAACATGTTTCCCTTTGATCTCCTTTGATGTAATGTCTTGATTGGTTGATTGTAAGGATCTGATAGTTCCATTTTCTTGATCGGTCGATTGGCGCATTTTCTCGCTTTTGTTGGGATTTGAATCTCTATGAATTGCCAGGTTAGAACGCTTTGCGGCAGTGAACAACCTCGATGGCACCCAAAACGTGTATTTCCATTTTAAAACCAGGCACCGCTGTGTTCCACTCGCAGTGAAGTAGCGAGAAATTCTGCTATTGTCTGCGCTCTTTGGTACTGGCCAAAAGCGCTGTTGCCAGAGAGATCTCTTTTGTATTTTCTTTGTCCTGTTTTAACCACAGAAGTCGAGCAGCAGAAAAGCACAGCATCTGTGCTATTGAGGCAAATGCATTGAGACCCCGTTTCTGTTTCTTCTTGTACGTATTGTTGGGCTGCACCCATGGATAGTGCGGAATCTTCAAATTGACCCAACTAGCAGGAACGAAACAGACTTTGGCGGCAGAGCCATTCAAACTATGCATCGAATTGCTGCACTTGCTCGAAGCTTGTAGGGACATGTGATCCAATGAAATCGTCCGAACCTCAGCAATTTTTAATAGAAATCCAAAAACAATAAAACTCACTGTATTCTACTGCCATTTGAATATCACCGATTTTATATTGGTACATGTGTTAAGAACAACAATGTACAAATATAATCGTGACTCACATGTACTTCCTTTGTCCAGAATTAAATGAAACAGTTTGTTGGGAGGCTGCATTCGTATCAAGTACTTGTTTGTCTTCCCTTGAAAATGCAGCCACAGCATCTACTATACATGTATTAGTTGCTGCCAAAAAAATCAAAAGGAATGGTTAAGCACAGTGCATTCGGCAATGCTCTGAACCTGTGCCACTCTAGTCCAGAATTTGGACGCTCCTAGGGCATCCCCCGCCAGCCGAAAACTAGGTTCCTGGGTCCAGGATGGCCCAACATGCACGTGCGGGCCCTTTTGGTGGCCTTCAGGGCACTGGAAGGGCAGAGCGGCTTTGCTTAGGCTCCACTGCCGATCGACACCCATCGCGATGAACAGCTGGTGGAGATTGCGGATGTTCGAGCATCTCGGCATCGCTGATTTGCCCAAATCCCCGCCATCATCCACAGCAAAGCAAAGATATATCTGGGATCTGCCATTGCCAGCAAATCTGCTGGCGTCTGGATGCTAGCTATGGAACAGCTGTGTGGATCAAAGCTCTCCTTTTGTTGCATGGCCGATGGAGGGTGTGGATGTTTCCACCATCGGAGACCCCCAGTGCTGTATGGTGGCGCTCTTGTTTTCCGCAAGGGCGACGTCAAAAATCTGTTGTGGCAACATCTCTCAAAGTGGCGTGAACGGCAAAGAAACGCTCCTCGTGGACGATGCCTGGGTCAGCAACATCCAGCGATCTTTTTGCTGCTGCGAATCGAGTTGACAATCATATTCTTCCAAACCTTCTGTGATAGCCTGAACACTTGCAGCCAACCTGCCCAAGGTGGCAGTCCCTTGTGAAAACAACCTGATTGTGAAATTCGCCGATTTCCGGGATTCCGATCTGAAATTGAAATGCTCAAACGCCCGTCAAAACCAGGGTAGCGATCGACCATCGAGCAGTGCGGATCTTGGTTCCGCGGCCTTTGTGCTTCGAAAGGAAGGCCTCCATCCTGCCGCCACAACTGCAGCTGCGGGTAGCACCGACAACCATAAAGCTTGACGGGTCAGGGAGGCAGGAGGGATCAGCATGGGAAATTGGGGGTCTTTGGAAAAGTCATGTGGTTGAAAGTACTGCAATATGATCTGTGCTTATCCATTCGTCACAAAACTTTGGCAGCAAGAAAAAACCTCGTAGCAGTGCTCTGGACAAATTTTCAATAAAAAGTAGTAAGTGTGTGATACAAAGATGGCCTCCCAAACAAATTGTTTCATTCAATTTCGGACAGAGGAAGAAAAAGGAAAGCAATGACCTCCCTGGAAGGCAATAATCGTCCACCTATGCAGCCCACTCGCAGGACTAAAAGAATGGACACCGGAACAAGGCAACAGGTTGCTGGCATCGCCTCACTGTTCCAGCAGGGACGGAACAGTGCAGTGTGGGGACACGCCAAAGGCTGTGCTAGGCATGATCAAAAGGGATGATGGATGATGGGGGACCCGGGTTATGTGCTGCTGCACCCACGTCGTTTGCAAGGCGGTGGGATATTTGTGTGTCAATGCAGTCGATGGAATTCAGTTGTGTATGGCAACAAGGGCATTCAGCACATTTCCCTTCCATATGTGGGTTACCTTAAAGTATATGACGCCTCTGACCGAAGTCAATCTGTGAAAACAGCTGACAGAAATCCAAGCTCGCTTTGCGCATTTGCGCCAATGGACCGACTGACTACGAATTGTTGTGTGCGGGCCACATATATTCCTTGCCTCTGTCGCATGGCATGTTCCTTCGTCGCAAGTTTTAATCAAATCTAATTGTTGTTCTACATCCAAATCCAGCTATCGAATACACACATTCTACCAGTAGGGGTTCAGCTGATCTTTTTTTAGTACAATGTTCACCAGAAACCTATACTGTGGTAAATTAGCCCGGCACTCCTATTGGCCTATTTCGAAATCTGTTGGACAGCATTCTCCAAATATGCAACACACGTCCACGCATTTGACACGCGATGACGGGGATAACTGCACACACCAAAGTGCTGCGAAAATGAGCACTCATCCATCCTTTGTTGTACATGTGTATTCGTTTATTCAAAGGTGTGCTTTTGAGTATTTGTGCCCTCCTGCCATCATTTCTCTTCTCCCAAATTTCCTGTAGGCGTCTTTTCTAGGAGGTTCGCGGCGTGTGGGCGATTTGCTGGCGTCATCGCCTCCGACATTTCCGGCCCGATGTTGAAGGAGGCGAAGCAATCCATGAAGGAGCCTGGCTACTCGACGCCGGTGGTGTTGGTGAGAGCCGATGTCGGAAGGTTGCCCTTTCCAACCGCCTCCCTGGCAGCTGTTCACGCAGGTGCGGCCATTCAGTTGCTTTCCTTTCCAGTGCAAGCACAACTGGTAAATACAGCATCCGTCGCAGTCATTAGTGAAAGCGTCGACATTGCAGATGATGTCATTAAGCATCTAAATTGTGCTGATCTCTGAAATTCGCGCATTACTAATCAGAACCGTGTTTAGTTGGGTCCCAGGTCGTGCAATTCATTGGTCTCGTTTTGTAGCAGTCTCGCCACTGCATTTTGGTCGAGCAGTCTGCTTTAAACGACGTCCCGAATACGCTTGCCGTTTCCAGGCACTGGCAACATCATTTTGTGCCGCTGGTCGTGGTCCCGTAAACATCTCAACTGAATGCCTACGGGGCTGACGCATCGTTTGTCACCATTCAAGTCTCTCATTGTCTGACCTCTGTATTCGCTGTAGCGCTGGCTGGTTGCCTTTTTCCCAAGGCATTTTGAAATTTCTCGTGCGATTGGGTGTTGCTGTCATGTCATCGTTGCATCGTCATGAGGGCTGACAATAGGAAGGGGGAGAGAGCTGGGGTATGTGTTCAAAGTCCAATGACGTTACGTGTACAAGCTGTGTAGTGCGTTTTCTGACCATGACGTGACAACACACTTCAAGGCTTTCGCGGTTATGACTCTGCCTACACTGTTCGACATGTTTCATCCAGAACATCGCAATAACGGAATGGCGCCCTCAATTCCATGTGAGACAATGGTTTTTTTCAGTCACGTCATTTTAACCCGGGCACAGTTGGTTCACAAGCCTGAACGGTTGCATTCTGGCAGATTGGCCACCAAAGCGCCAGGGACGATCTTGTCCGTTGTAGGTCTGCATATGGTGGCAGGATATTGCCAAATGCTATATGCCAGGATATGGCAGTTTGTCATATCTTGGATGTTGCTATAATGACCTTGAACATGCATATCCAGGAGATGGCGGTCGTATCAGGACATGCATCTTTTTCTCGAAATGTTTAGGGAGCAGATATGACAACAGGAAACAAACGGCAATTGTCTGCAAGAGTGAGAATTCTGTCGGAAGCAGCATTGTTATTCCGAGAGCACCTGCCGAGCTCTGCTGGTCACCTGTGCAGCGCCTTGCCTAATCACAAGAACCATCACGAAAACTGCCACCCTCACAAGCAGGATAGATACACAGGCAATTGAAAACTCGTTCATCGAAGGCCGGCTCAAAGCAGGTTCTCGATGGCTGTGAAGGCGCCTCCGTCCACTGCTGGCCAGACCCGCCGATGGCCTTCGCCGAGATCAGCCGCGTCCTAAGGCCCGGCGGCGTGCTCGTTGCATCGACGGTCATGACGGTTCCCAGCGCAATGTCTGGGCTTGCCAGGGACGACGCCTTGCGAGCCCTTGACTCCCTGTTCCCCAGCGACGTTGGCGTTCAATTGTGGCGGGAGGGGGAGCTGCGCGACCTGTGCGCCATGTCCGGCTTGCAAGGCTTCACGTGCCACCGCAACAGGATGTTCATCATGTTTGCGGTTACCAAGCCAGCTGGCAACGAGGGTTGATGGGTGAGAGGGTGGTGATTTCGACATTTTTGATGCGATGAAAGTTGCTTATTGATGATAGTTTTGGTGTCGATTGCTGTTGATTTTTTGACGTTTGGTAGTTATTGTCAGTCACGTGGGTGAATATTCCACGAAGTTGCCAGGAGGCGGCTGTGAACGAGTGCCCTTGTGCTGATAGGGCGTTGTCGCACCATCCTCAGAAATGGGGGCCAAAACGAGAATGATGTTCGAAGATGAATGCAAATGGAAGGCGTTTGGATGGGCACTGTCACATCAGCAACAGCTAACGACCATTTAATGCATTTGCAGCTGTAGTACTCTCCGCACTTGACCACAAAACCATCGTAAGCGGTTTCCCAATACTCCCGTGCAGTTGGCTGCATCCGAGGTCTAGAGAAACACAGCAATACACTTCCCACCGTACGCACGGTCGTACAGGTGATGGTAAGTGAAGTCTCACAAGCGGACCTTCCGCCGTCAGTTATATAGATAGCAGCACCTTCTAAAATTAGGTGTTATGGCTTTTCTGTGTGCCAGAATTGGTCAGACATACACAATGGATTATGCCGAACACAATCTGACCAGTCCACCATTACATAACTGCCACTTCGGTTTTGTTTGTGGCCCAGCCTTGCACATACCATGCAAGCTTGCACATTCCAAGATGCTATACTTCAACCAACATGAGTCAGTAACGAAGATGGATCAGTAACTACTCATACATTCTAACCCCGCGATTAGTTTTCATCCCCAGACTGTCACATCATGTTTACTGCTCAATATCCTTTCATGGAATTGCCTACCAAGGGACCCTTGGTAGGCTTACCCGGTAAGCATGCACCCCAAATCCAGCGCAGCTCCGGGTCCCTGCGTAACTCACGCCACGTACACTACCATTCCGGGCCGCAGTCGGTCAAAGATCGGGACAGATCCTAGCCTCCATCAAAGCATGCGCTCATGCCCTGCTGCGCACACCTACCTTCGCGACTGGTCGAAACCGGTCGAAACCGGCGATCGACAAGCCCCCGACAATCGAGAAAACAACGTCCCATCTACCCCAGCCGGTCTGGTGCTCCGAATACGCTGCACCAACCGCTAGTCTCCCAAGAGAGCTCTTGCAAGCTCGCAAGTGGCACACACAGAAGACAAACCACAAAATGCTTACTGGCTTGTTCAGCTCTATTCGACAAAGAGACACCATCCTCTCGGTCACCACCAGTACATCATGTCCCCTTCTCGCTCACCTCTAACCTCACCCCACATCCCGCACCTGGAACTCCACCACTATCCCAGCAGCCCCAGCGTTCCCCCAGAGCTACCAACTCCAGTGCTAGGTACCCCTTCACACTGAGAACTCCACACCTAATACATTCACTATTCTCCCTCTGAGCTTTAAGCTTGACCCACGTTCCGCCAACTCACCATCTGCTTCCAAGCTACCCCCCAGCCGCGAAGCCCCCACAACAACCTCTTGGCGGAGTGGCCGTAAGCCCGTCTATAGTGCTTGCTCTACCTGCTCGTAGTTCCACTCCCAGAATGCTTCTTTGTAACTTCTTCTTGCACCCTCCATAGACCATGCAATGCAGGTATGGCATGCCGCATCAAACCGCATGCGCCCACTGTATCTTCGACTGAACCTTAGTCTGCTGCGCGACCAAGAAGCGCACCGGCACCACACCCCGTCCTGGGAGCCAGGCCATGATTCCGGTCTGCAACTCATGCAGAGTGGCACCGGTGACCAGACCTATTGGCTCCCATCCTTGGTGGCATTCCGCGGCTACCTCCAGCCAGCCACAGCCGCAGATGTCCTCGTGGAGCTCCTCATTTCAGCAGGGCCATGACACCTTCCTCAGTCTGCATCTCTATGTCCACCCTACTATTCCACAGCTCCTGTGCTCATGTATTGAGCTTTGCACAAAGACACGCAGTTCGATACATTTAGAGAACGGCGGGAAAACTGTTTGGTGGTCCTCCACAGTCTTGTTCCTTCAAATGGAGTATTCCACCCACAATTCTGGTTGCCCATTGATACTTCGACGAGGATCGAACCGGTGACTTCCCCCCTTTCGGTTGTCTCAAGGGTGCACACTACCCCACACCACAAACCCCTTGAGCGGTGTAAATTGGGTGTGCCACTTTTTTATGTCGGTACGTATCACCCATCCTGTGCGCCACTCCCTCAACTAGCATCTTGCCTATGCAGGCTCCCACTCCAGCTCGCAGCGCCACACAACAAGGGGTCGCAACACTCTTATCATGGCGTTTTGCTTCCTTTGGTAGCCGGGCGTGCAAGCAGAATGGCTCTGCGCACTGTTCCCATCATGTCCTTCATTGTCGCATCCTGTGGGTCAGTCAGGATCCCACTGACTACCTCTTCACAAAGCTTCCGAGCACTGTAGTGCTCTATGCGTGGTTCCTCATACGGAGGGACACACCTATCATTTTTCCGGCATTTTGCCTACATTATGCTCATTCGTCTGACTTCAGTCAATGCAACCTTTATTTTCTTGCAATGTTCTGTCGATTTTGCCACACATTTCCATGCCTATCGTGCATCTGCATTGGGGTGTATCTGCCCCTTCACAGCACTGTCGAAAAGTGCTTTTTCTTTGACTAAAATGGTGGCATACTCAGGGCATCCCATTCAGTGAGGTCATTGGCAATGGTAGCGAATGGTCCCGAATGAGTGATACGAACCTGACCGAAGAACCGCTCGGACCGGGACTTTAACCTAAGGCCACCATGGCAAGCCAGACAGGTTTCGTCCCGCACCAATAGAACTTGTCTGTAGCCTTGTTTAACACCTTAGGCTCAGGGTATTATACCCTCCGTATAAACGAGCACCATAAAGGCAAAGATGGCTGTTCATTACAACTCATTTTGTGGTAACTCGGACAATGTCGAAATGGTACATGCGAGTTGCATGGGTTGCTCGCCTTCGATCAACAGCTCAGGACTGCTCCTTCCCTTACTGCTACAGGTGCATTCCGTCCTGCCAGATTTCAGTGGGCTACGACAGATACATGTGAATGCGCAGCAGTTTACACATGGCGACTGATCACAGAGAGGAAAAAGGTCCCCAGAAATCGTTACCAATGTGCTCAACAAGCGGTTAGCACAAAAGAAAATGGTTCAGCACAACACAACGGAATGTAACAGACTAAATGGCCATGAAATAGCATGCGGTGCAGTCTACTTTCCATTTTCTGGATCTCTGCCAGCCACTGGTGGGTTCTTCACTATGCGTCACTTTGCAACGCCCAGTATCCCTGGCATTCAGAATCCTGATTGCCACCATGTTTCAATGATGAGCATCGGCGAGGGGCTGAGACAGCTGGACGCTGGATGGTGATGGTCCCATCGCACTTTCACTCCTGATCACACCATGACACTTTAGATGGCATACCGACATGCGAGACCACAGGAGCTAGGAACGGGCCGTTTGGCCGCTTGGCGGCAAGAGCTGGGCGTCCCCGATTCCACATCATTTTGCCACCTGTACATACACGGTGTCCTCGATCCGTGCATCTGCATGGGTATGGAATATGTGGGCGAAGGGACAAGCTGTTGGGCCACATTAACGACTGGCCTCTACACAGGACAACTTGGCCCTTTGCGAGGTATCATGCGAGGTCAGCGTCCATGACGGCCAGGCCAGCGGAACATCTCTGGGACCATGGGACTGAGAGTTGGGCATCGTATCAGGCGCATGAAGATGCGAGTATCATTGCATGAACATGGGAGATGCACAGACACAGGACAGGTGTGCGGCGGAGCACAACATTTGCCAAACAAGCAAGGCTGAACTATTCGCCTTGTTTTGGCACAGCGACAATTGTGTCCACCGCGTTCGTGCTGTGCACCAGCACCGTGGGCGACTGGCATGTGACGTCCATTGACGGGTAGAGTGAACGTTTGCTCCGCCCGTCAAAGTATGTTCCATGCAAATGGGCTAACCCATTGTGTTCTCAGGCCAGCCACAGCACAACCCCGTGGCCCGGGGAGCCAAACGCGGAGGCAGTTCGTCGCAGCTCCCTGCGGAGGCAGCCAGCTAGCCACCAATTGCTGCGGCACTTGCACGATGGCCCCACACGGCATATCTCTGGACAGTGCGAGGGTTTCTGTCCATTCCTCGGGAAACGGGGGACCTGGGTGTACAACAGAAGGAGGCGTCTCAGCAAGTCCGACAACTCCAATGTCCAACCGTTCACACCTCGATTCGCCCATGCATGGTAATCCCTCCCTTCCGCGCCTCAGCCACCGAATGCCCAACCAACTGACAGCCAAGGGCCTTCTGTCAATGGCCTTTCGCCCCTCACTGTCAATTTATTCCCACACAGCCTGTAAGGGCGACCCACGCTGCCACCGTCCTCAGGGGGTGCGTGGCAAATATCGCGGGCCACCCGCTCGGGGCCCACCCTCCCCCGCTGGGACGCGCAACAGTATTGTACAAGCGGAAGGCGCCTGCCAGCAGGCGTCTTTTCTCAGCGTCCCATCCGCAGGGCAAGGCACCCGGCCCCGGAAAACAAATTCCCCAATTACCTACGTCGTTCGTCATTCGCGTACAAAGGGCTGAACACTGTGGAACACAACACAACACGAACCGAAGTGTGTCCTGCCTCCTTCCTGTGCTCACTCGGCTTCATAGTCGCTCCAACTTGTTCAGGGCTCAGTGCGTGGACGGCGTTGTTAACGTGGCACCTCCAACACGAAACGCCGCTCTCTACAGGTACCTAACTAACAGATTTCTCCCAAAAAAATGAGTGCATCGTTTTCGCGCGTGACAACTCAGCACGAATCACAACCTACCCGACAACATGATCTCTTGAGACAGGACATAGGTGCGTCGTTTTTCTTGCAACGACCACACATCTGCCACAGGGTTCCTGCCCGCCCTGGCTGCGTGCCACCCACCTCTTGTCCTGCCCGCACGCACCAGCCAGGGCCACCCCAAATCGATTTCGAGTCCATTCTTCAGCATTCTAATTCAGCCGACTGCC